AAAAAAAAAAAAAGAATAACTTAAACTTAGGTACATTGCTTCTTAAGAACCAAACCACTACTACTTAGAGGTGTTCATAATAAGTAATTAAACCTCAAATCTTTTGGCAGCTGCAGTACATCGGGTGAAGGTTTCACTTGTTTGACTTCTGGATCATCCCCGAGCACTAAACGGTGCATCAGTGAAAACATTTCACGGCGCCTTTATGTTTTCAAATCAAAATGCCTTTTGTGTGAACTGCAACAAGGTAATTAAAAAAGATCAATGAGCAACCTTGCTGAATTGAAGGCAATTATCCTCATATTGTTTACTTTAGAACCTATTCTTAACAGATTTTATGTAGGTATAGATTGACATCAGCAGAAAAACTAAAGTCTAATAAAAAATATTTACATCATGTATAGAGAAATTATGTGATCAAATATGTGAAATCTAAACCTGGCATGAATTGGCATGAGGGGAATAAACTTGGCAGCGTATCTTCTCTCTCTACCTACAAGAAACTCTTCAGCTGAGACCGAGTCACTGATTCGATTCTCTTCCACAAAAATTCGAGACCAATCAAAAGTTTTATTGTATCTAGCAAGAATGATAATCTGGACGCCAGTATCGAATTTTTCTGAGTCTGAGAAAATAAAAGAGAAAAAACAAGAGCAAATATTCGGTTAAAAAGAACAGAAGCAAATGCTTGTATTTGGATATGAATCCACAAAGCTGCCAACTATGTTAACTTGGACATGAAAAATGGAAAGAACTAACTCTTCAATTTCTTACTTTGTAACTGTAAGGTTTTGACTACTTCTCAAGTCACGTAGTTGGGTGTGATCTTCATATAGGACAACTCCAATATGAAGCTCCACTTCCCCAAAGCACTCCTCTTGTTCCTCTAATATCTCCTTTGCAGAAAGCATGACGGAGTCTGGACAATACAACACATGGATCTCCCTAAGCGTGTTTATATCCCCAATTCCCAATGGGATCTTCTTCAGCTTATCTAGACCATGTAGTTGGAGGCGCTCGAGTCTCGGGAAGTGT